GCAGGCTGGGGCTTTAACCCGCTGTGCGAAAGAGCCGTCCCCAATAAATAAAATCTTTAAAAACGAAAATACAATCAACTTTCTAAAAAAAAAAAATCCGAAGAAAGCGAGGAGGTGGTATGTTAATTAGCGTGACTGTGGTGGTAACAAGAAAATCAATCCTTTTAAAAAACACTTTTTATTACAGATATGTTGATTGATTTGAAAGGCAGAGTTCCAGAGAGGGAGAGAGAGGTCTTGCACTCGCTGTTTCACTCCCCAAATGGCCACAACAGCCAGAGCTGAGCTGTTCCGAAGCCTGGATCCGGAGCTTCTTCTGGGTCTGGGTCTGGGTCTCCCACACACACAGGCCCAGGGCCCTGCCCGAGGACTTGGGCAAATCCTCTACTGCTTCCCAGCCATAGCAGAAAGCTGGATCGGAAGACCGGGGCCCCTACGGGATGCAGGCACTGCAGGCCTCTCTCTCTCTCTCTCTCTCTCTCTCTCTCTCTCTATCACTATGTATCTCTCTCTACCTCTCTATCCCTATCTCTATCTCTCTGTATCTCTCTCTACCTCTATCTCATCACTAACTCTACCGCTCTGAACTCTGCCTTCAAACAAAGAAAAAAGAAAAAAATATCCCTGCCCTGCTGGAGCCCGAAGGAATCCCTCCCTCGCTCCTGATTGGACAGTAAGAGCAAGGGGGCGGGCCTGAGGCGCCTAGCGACCTGCGGGAAGCAGAGGCGAGAACTCTGGGAGAACTTGACCACTGGAAAGCGGGTCCGGGCGCCCGAGTCTCAGGCCCGTCCCCTCGTGCGTGGCCCGGGGAGGCCCGCTGCCCACCCACCGCCCGAGAGCACGCGGAGGACGGCAGCCCACGAACGTGGCCACCACGCCCTTGCGGCCCTGGATTTCGCGTTGTCTACGATGGCGCCCCCTGGCGCTCCACGGTGGCGGCGACCCCGGACTCTGGTGGCGGCTGGGGGCCAAGGCCGCGGCGAGGTCGCCAGGCCCGCCTGACTGCCCTCAGGAACCCCATAAATCGTCTTCTTGTGGCACTTCACAAGTATCTAAGTTCACCATTACAAAACGTCCACACACTACAGAAAACCAGCCTCCAGGCTGTGATGCCTCGGACCAGCCCAGAGAGCCCCCCAAACTCCCAGCACATTTGCTTTTGTAAAGAACAAGGCAGAGGAGTGGTCCCTCCAGGGCTGTCTCCAGGTCGCCGGCAGGGGCTCCTACAGACTGCTTCGTCCTTTTTCTTTTTTCTAGGACTGGAAAAAATTCGGCCCTTGAAGTCTGGGGGTTCAGATATCTGCTAGTCGTCTGGCTCGTCGTCATGGAACAAGCGGTACATGCGCACGAGCTCCCCGATGTCATGAGGCAGCGAAGCCCAGGGCGCAGAGGAGTCCAGATGGATGTTGTGCAGATCTGCGGGCAGCGGGTCCTCGGCAGCCTCGGGGCCCTGCGCCTGGGAGCCCCCGGGGCCCTGCTCTTCCTCCGCAGGCGCGCTGAGCTCCGAGCATGTTGGCGGCGGCGGCGGCGGCGGCGGCGGCAGTGGCAGCAGCAGCGGTGGTGGCAGCGGAGGCGGAGGAGGAGGCTGAGGTGTGGACTCGCTGGGCTGGCGGGGCTGGCCCTTTCGCTGCAGTTTTCTTTGCTTGGCGCGCTGATTTTTAAACCAGGTCTGGGGAGGAAGGGAGGGAGCAGGTTACTCCAGAGGCAAGGACCCCAGGGAGACCCCATGGGCCTCAGAAGCTCGGGGCCCTTGTGGCGTGGGCACGCTGGGCTCAAGCCTCTTTCTCAAACGCTGTGCCGGGCCCGGGAGGGAGCCGCAGGCATCAGGTAAAGGGGAGGGGGCCGGGCAGCCTCTGCCCTGCTCCCAAGCGATCCTCCACAGCAGAACCTAGAACTTTGCGCGCTAGGCTTTGCACCACAAAGGCTCACGTTCTGGGAGCTCGGTCTCTAAGGACACAGTACTGAGAGGTGCGGAGACCCTCGGAGGGGAGGCCTGGTGGGGTCATTCGGCCATGGGGTCGCGCGCAGCCGCCGTGGGCCCTGGGGGCAGTGAACCGGCCGATGGAAGACACCTCTCTCTGCCTCGAACTCGTTCAAAGAGATAAATACATCTTAAAAAAAAAGTCGGTCTCATTGCGTCTCATCCAATACATTGAAAGAAATACAATTTGGAAACGCGCTCCCTGCACACACGTGTTGGCTCAGCCTGCGCGGGCGGCTCTCGGCTGGCTCCCCGCGCTGGGGCTGGGCGGCGCCATCCACCAGGCGCGGTCCTGGCCGCCACCGCCGGCCGGCTCAGACTTGAACTCTTGCGCCCACAACCGCAACCGCAATGCAGCCGCGAGCGCCCCGTCCGCCCGCCCGGGGGAGTCTTTCTTGTCAAGTGCCCACGCGCAGGAAGTTCGGGACAAGTCCCGGGGCAGCCTCTGCCTGCCAGCCTCGCGGGGACTGCGAAGCGCAGCGCGCGCATTGGCCATTGCCCTGAGCAGCCAGCGCAGCGGTGACCACAGCAAGTGAGTGCGCGGCGCGGAGGGCGCGGGGCTCAGGACATACCTTGATCACATACACATCCAGATGAAGCTCGGGCGCTAACTCTTGGACTCGGCTCCAATCTGGGCAGCGGCTGGTTTCTAAAACAGCTTGCAGCATCCCCAGCTGGTCGGGGGTAAAGGCCGTGCGGCTGCGGCGAGAGGACCTGGGCACTGCAGAGGGAACAGCAACACAGGCCTTTGGTTTGCTTTAAGCAAGAATCCATTGGAGTTCCTGATGCAGACATTTGGGGCGTGACCTGGTCCCCGGTTGCTCGGGAGACACCAGCGCTCTCTCTCGGGGTCTCTTCCTCTTTGCCAGGGTCTCGCAAAGGAATTTTGGAAAATGCACCCTGGAAGGCAGAGCCTGATCTCATGGTCATGCATTTTCGACGTGAGCTTGAACTTCACGAGGGGAAGATGTCCTGCTGCCACACACACACACACACACACACAGACACACAGAAACACACACATACATACACAAAAACACACACACATCCACCCACACACACACGCATACATACCTAAATGCACATACATGCATACATACACACCCACACACTCACACCCACACCCACACCCACACCCACACCCACACCTGCACCCACACCCTGTGAAGGCATGTGCCAAGCTCGCAGTTTTCTCCCAGCTCATGGGAAAGACAGAGAGAGAGACAGAGAGAGAGAAAACTGCATAGGGCTTTGGAGGAAGCCCTCAGCCATGGAGGGGTTGGAAAGAGATGGAGAAAGAGCCGCAGGCAGAGGAGAAGGAGGCCAGAAGCACATGTGCGTGGTTAGAGTGCAGCCACTGGGGCCGGCCCCTGGGAGGCCTTGCAATGCTGGGTTCCTATCCCAGAGTCCCAGTTGGTGTCCCAGCTGCTCCACTTCCCACCCAGCTCCCTACAAATGCACCTGGGAAAGCAGTAGAAGATGGCCCAAGTACTCAGGCCCCCACACCCACATGGGAGACCCAGATGGAGCTCCCGGCTCCTGGCTTTGGATTGCACCAGCCCTTGGCCATTGCAGCTACCCATGCAAATACACATGCAAAGGAAATGTTTTTTCATTTTCAGAAGGCGCCTGGCATTGTGGCAGAGTGGGTAAAACCCACCACTGGCAACACTGGTGTCCCATATGCACACTGGGGCAAGGCCCAGCTGCTCCACTGCCTATGCAGCTCCCTGCTCATGTGCCTAGGGAAGCAGCAGAGGACGGCGCAAGTGATGGGACCCCTGCACCCATGTGGGAGAGCTCATTTTTATTATAAAACTCACATTCGAGGATAGACTTTCTTTCTTTCTTTGTTCTTTTTTGAAAAAAAAAAAAAAAGATCGATTCATTTCTTTGAAGGTCAGAGTTACTCCCCAACTGGCCACAATGGCTCGAGCTGTGCCAATGCAAAGGCAGGAGCCAGGAGCTTCTTCCGGGTCTGCCATGCAGGTGCAGGGGCCCAAGGACTTGGGCTGGGTTCTACTGCTTTCCCAGGCCATAGCAGAGGGCTGGATCAGAAAAGGAGCAGCCGGGACTCGAAGCGGCGCCCGGACTCGAAGCGGCGCCCGTATGGGATGCCTGCCCTTCAGGCCGGGGCTTTAAGCCACTGCACCACAGCGCCGGCCCCATCAACTCACTCTTTCAACACACGGTTTTCAAAGAGAAAGATTGTGTCTGTGTCTCCAAACAAGAAATGCACTCTACACTAGGGTTTTCCAAGGCAAAGGAAAATAGGAGAAAATACAGAGAGACTAAGAAATGCATGGAAATAGGAGTCAAAAACTGAGCTCATTCTGGGGCAAAAAGAATGTTTTGGAACGCCATGCATAACTTTTTCTTCCTACCTATTTTCCCTTCCCAGGAACTTTCTGAAGACCTCTCATCTGCATAGGTGGATTCCAAACAGTTTTTGCCCAAGTCAATGTTTTAAAATCCATTTCCATGAACTTTTCTAGTACCCTTGTGTCACATGGACATTTAAAATATCTGAACAGTGCAACTCGGAAGCAAGTGGAAAACACAAGCCAAAGACTGCAAGGTTTTCTGTGCCAGCAACACCAGAGTTTCCGGGAGACCCCACTGGCTGCCGTGCGAACTGTATGACAGTCACGGGCATCCCAAAGGATGGGAGAGACGACGGACACTCGCTCACTGCTGGCGGGAGCCCTGCAGCAAACTGTGCTCCTGTTTGCTCCATTGCCAGAAGCCAGCGATCCCGCCAACGGCCAAGCCGGTGCCGGCATGGCTTGGCCTACCACCAAGCAAGCCCTGCACAGCCAACCTCTCGCCCACCCGCCTCGGCCACTTGCTCACTCGACATCAGGACGCGGACCGGCAGTATTTCCGAAGCTGCTGCTTCTCCAGCGTCTGCGCTTGTCTGCCCCTTGCCGCCCGCCTGCCCGCCGGCCCGCCCGCCCGCCTGGCTAAAGGATGGCTCCTTTAGAGAAGGAAGCCAACTTGGCATGGTATGAAGTCTTTGATGGACCCTCCCTAAGTCACACCCTAGACCTGATTGACAGATGTGCCGCTTGAAGAGGTGAACCCCAGCCCCTGGCTCCCGGCTCCCCATTGGCACAGCTCTGACCCTTGTGGCCATTTGGGGCGTGAAGCAACGGAAGGCAGACCTTTCTCCCTGTCTCTTCTTCTCACTGTCTGCAGCTCTACCTCTCCAAGAATTCAATAACAACATCCTCAAACAACGATTTATGTTATTTTATTTTACTTTATTTTATTGGAAAGACCAGTGCCCATATGGGCTGTTGGCGCTGCAGGCTGGAGGTTGAACCCGCTGTGCTACAGCGCCGGCCCCAATCAATCCAATCTTTAAAAATGAAAAGACAATCATCATTCTGCAAAAACATCCTAAGAAAGCGAGGAGGTGGTATGTTAATTAGCGTGACTGTGGTGGTCACAAGAAAATCAATCTTTTCAAAAAACACTTTTTGGTACAGATGTGTTGATGGATTGGAAAGGCAGAGTTCCAGCCGCGGCCCTGGCTTGCGCGTTGTCTACGATGGCGCCCCCTGGCGCTCCACGGTGGCGGCGACCCCGGACTCTCTGGTGGCAGCTGGGGGCCAAGGTCGCGGCCAGGTCACCAGGCCCACCTGACTGCCCTCAGGAACCCCATAAATCCTCTTCTTTAAGCACTTCAAAAACATCTAAGTTCACCACTACAAAACGTCCACAATCTACAGAAAACCAACCTCCAGGCTGTGATGCCTCCGACCAGCCCAGAGATCTCCCCAAAATCCCAACACGTTTAGTTTTGCAAAGAATGAGGCAGAGGAGTGGTCCCTTCAGGGCTGTCTCCAGGTCGCCGGCAGGGGCTCCTACATGCTTCATTCTTTTTTTCTTCTTTCTTTTTTCTAGGACTGGGAAAATTTGGCCCTTGAAGTCTGGGGGTTCAGATATCTGCTAGTCGTCGGGCTCGTCGTCATCGAACAAGCCGTACATGCGCACCAGCTCCCCGATGTCATGGGGCAACGAAGCCCAGGGCGCTGAGGAGTCCAGATGGATATTTTGCAGATCGGCGGGCAGCGGGTCTTCGGCAGCCTCGGGGCCATGCGCCTGGGAGCTCTCAGGGCCGTGATCTTCCTGCGAAGGTGCGCTGAGCTCTGAACCTGGTGGTGGTGGGGACTCGCCGGGCTGGCAGGGGCTGGCCCTTTCGCTGCAGTTTTCTTTGCTTGGCGCGCTGATTTTTAAACCAGGTCTGGGGAGGAAGGGAGGGAACAGGTTACTCCAGGGGCAAGGACCCCAGGGAGACCCCATGGGCCTCAGAAGCTCGGGGCCCTTGTGGCGTGGGCACGCTGGGCTCAAGCCTCTTTCTCAAACGCTGTGCCGGGCCTGGGAGGGAGCCGCTGGCATCAGGTAAAGGGGAGGGGGCCGGGCAGCCTCTGCCCTGCTCCCAAGCGATCCTCCGCTGCAGAACTTAGAACTTTGCGCGCTAGGCTTTGCACCACAAAGGCTCACGTTCTGGGAGCTCGGTCTCTAAGGACACAGTACTGAGAGGTGCGGAGACCCTCGGAGGGGAGGCCTGGTGGGGTCATTCGGCCATGGGGTCTAAGCAGCCTCAAACTCTTTCAAATAAATAATAAATAAATCTTAAAAAAGAAATTCTGTCTCATTGCCTCTCACACAATACATTGAAAGAAATACACTTTGGAAACGCGCTCCCCGCACACACGTGTTCGCTCCGCCTGGCCTGCGCGGGCGGCCCTTGGCTGGCTCCCGCGGGGCTGGGCGGAGCCATCCACCAGGCATAGTCCTGGCCACCTGCTCACACTTGAACTCTTCTGCCCCAAGGCAGCCGCGAGCGCCAGGGGCAGTCTATCTTGTCAAGGGCCCACCCGCAGGGACTTCGGGACCAGCCCCGCGCCAGCCTCTGCCTGCCAGCTTCGCAGGGACTGCAAAGCGCGTGCATTGGCGACTGCCCTGAGCGGCCAGCACAGCAGGTGACCTGCAAGCGAGTGAGTGCATGGCACGGAGGGCATAGGGCTCGGGACATACCTTGATCACACACTCATCCAAACATAGCTTTGCCGCTAACTCTTGTATCTTCTCCCAGTCAGGACAGGGGGTCGTTTCGAAAACAGCTTTCAACATCCCCAACTGGTCGGGGGTAAAGTCTGTGCGGCTGCGGCGAGCACACCTGGGCGCTGCAGAGGGAACAGGAACAAAGGGCTTTGGTTTGCTTTCAGAAAGAATCCATTGGCCATCCTGATGCCGGCTTTGGCTCCAGCAGCCACTGCATGCATTTCGGGAGCGAGCCGGTAGACAGCAGCGCTCTCGGGGTCTCTCCTCTTTGCCTGGGTCTCCCAAAGGAATTTTGGAAAATGCACCGAGGAAGGCAGAGCCTGATCTCATGGTCATGCATTTTCGCCGTGAGCTTGAGCTTCACGAGGGGAAGATGTCCTGCTGCCACACACACACACACACACACACATACATACATACATACAAACCCACACACACAGTAAGACACAGACACAGAAAGTCACACACACATACATACTCATACATACACACCCACACACCCACGACATACATACATACATACATACACACACATACATACATAAGAACCCACACACTAACACAAAGACAGACACATACAGACACACACAGAAAGATACACACATGTACATACACACATATGCAAACATATATACAAACCCACACACAAACACAAACAAGACACACACAGACAAACACACACATACATACACATACATACATTCATACACACCCACACCCACAGCCTGTGAAGGCAAGTGCCAAGCTCGCAGTTTTCTCCCAGCTCATGGGAAAGACAGAGAGAGAGTCAGAGAGAGAGAAAAACTGCATAGGGCTTTGGAGGAAGCCCTCAGCCATGGAGGGGTTGGAAAGAGATGGAGAAAGAGCCGCAGGCAGAGGAGAAGGAGGCCAGAAGCACATGTGCGTGGTTAGAGTGCAGCCACTGGGGCCGGCCCCTGGGAGGCCTTGCAATGCTGGGTTCCTATCCCAGAGTCCCAGTTGGAGTCCCGGCTGCTCCACTTCCCACCCAGCTCCCTGCAAGTGCACCTGGGAAAGCAGTAGAAGATGGCCCAAGTACTCAGGCCCCCACACCCACATGGAAGACCCAGATGGAGCTCCCGGCTCCTGGCTTTGGATTGCACCAGCCCTTGGCCATTGCAGCTACCCAAGCAAATACACATACAAAGTAAATTTTTTTTCATTTTCAGAAGGCGCCTGGCATTGTGGCAGAGTGGGTAAAACCCACCACTGGCAACACTGGCGTCCCATATGGACACTGGGACAAGGCCCAGCTGCTCCGCTGCCTATGCAGCTCCCTGCTCATGTGCCTAGGGAAGCAGCAGACAACAGCCAAAAGATAGCACCCCTGCACCCATGTGGGAGAGCTTATTTTTATTATAAAACTTGCATTCAAGGATATACTTTCTTTTTTTTTAAAAGAAAAAAAAGGTCTATTCATTTATTTGATGGTCAGAGTTACACAGAGAAAGAAGGAGAGACAGAGAGAGAGAGAGAGAGAGAGACAGAGAGAGAGAGAGTGTTCCATCCACTGGTTCACTCCCCAACTGGCCACAATGACATGAGCTGTGCCAATCCAAAGGCAGGAGCCAGGAGCTTCTTCCCGGTCTCCCATGTGGGTGCAGGGGCCCATCTTTTCCTGCTTTCCCAGGCCATGCCAGAGAGCGGGATCAGAAGAGGAGCAGCCTGGACTTGAACCGGAGCCCATATGGGATGCCTGCACTTCCAGCCAGGGCTTTAACCCACTGCACCACAGCGCCGGCCCCATCAACGAACACTTTAAACAAAACTTTTTAAAAGAGAAAGATTGTATCTGTGTCTCCAGACAAGAAATGCACTCTACACTAGGTTGTTCCAATGCAAAGGAAAACATGAGAAAATACAGAGAGACTAAGAAATGCATGGAAAAAATGAGTCAAAAAATGGGTTCATTCTGGTGCAAAAAACAATTTTTTGAAAGCCATGCATAACTTTTTCTTTTCTTTTTATATTTAGACGGGCAGAGTTGGACAGTGAGAGAGAAACAGAGAGAAAGGTCTTCCTTCCGTTGGTTCACCCCCGCTCCCCTAATGACCAATACAGCCGGCCTTCGCGCTGTGCCGATCTGAAGCCAGGAGCCAGGTGCTTCCTCCTGGTCTCCCATGCGGGTGCAGGGCCCAAGCACCTGGGCCATCTTCCACTGCCTTCCTGGGCCACAGCAGAGAGCTGGACTGGAAGAGGAGCAACCAGGACTAGGACCCAGCACCTATATGGGATGCCAGCGCCACAGGCAGAAGATTCACTGAGTGAGCCACGGCCACTGTCCCCATCACTTTTGCTTCACCCCTAGTTTCCCACACACTTTGTGAAGACCTCTTATCTGCTTAGGTTTCCAAACAGTTGTTCCCCAATCAAATGGTTTAAAATCAATTTCCACCCTGTGTCACATAAACATTTAAAAGATCTGAACAGTGAAACTGCTAAGCAAATGGAAAACACAGTTTTCAAGACTGGAAGGTTTTCTGTGCAACCAACATCAGAGTTTCTGGGAGACAACAAAGATACTCTACAAAACAACCAAAAACGAAACGCACAGTTCTTTAAAATGAGAAAGGTCAGAAACAGGCAATGAGCATTCAAGAGGAAGCAGAATGGTGTCTAAAACAGTGATGCAGCCCTGTCCCCTCGATGGCTTGGGAAGTGCGTCACAGACCAGAGATTATGGGAGAGACCCAACTGGCTGCCGTGTTAACTGTATGCCAGTCACGGGCATCCAAAAGGATGGGAGAGACGACGGACACTCACTCACTGCTGGCGGGAGCCCAGTAGCAAACTGTGCTCCTGTTTGCTCCATTGCTATAAGCCAGCGATCCCGCCAACGGCCAACCTGGTGCCGGCATGGCTTGGCCTACCACCAAGCAAGCCCTGCACAGCCAACCTCTCGCCCACCCGCCTCGGCCACTTGCTCACTCGACATCACGACTCGGACCGGCAGTATTTCCGAAGCTGCTTCTTCTCCAGCGTCTGTGTTTGTCTGCCCCCTGCCACCCGGACGGCTCCTTTCTAGAACAGAGCCAACTCCTGACGGTATTAAGTCACACCCTAGACCAGATTGACAGATGTAGCACTTGAAGAGCTTATCAGATACATGGGATTAACAGATGCCAATTTACCTCGGAATCAGCCCTTAAGATGTTCGGATCCGGCTGAAGAGCCCATGAGAGTATTTTAGGCATGGAAAGCCAAGACACTCTGGAAAAAAAAAAAAAAAAAAAAACCTAAATGAAAGATCTCTGCGAGTGAGAGAGATCCCAGTGGAAAGAACATGCCATCAAAGGAGGAGGTACCCTTCTCTGAAGGGAATTTCCACTTTGACTATGACCTTGTCTAAATAAGATGGGAGTTGGCAAACTCAAAAGGCTTCCCTAACCTAGGCAACTCAATAGCCTAGGGTGATTACTGACCCCAGAAACAAGAGTGTCAATTTCTTAGTCAACAACAGGAGTCACTGTGCACTTCCTCCTCATGTAGGATCTCTGCCCTTCACGTGTTGTAAAATGTGAATTCTTCCTATAACTAGTACTCAAACAGTACTTGACGCTTTGTGTTTCTGTGTGGGTGCAAACAGTTGAAATCTTTACTTACTATATACTATATTGATCTTCTGTATATAAAGATAATTGAAAATGAATCTTGATGTGAATGGAATGGGAGAGGGAGCGGGAGATGGGAGGATTGGATTGCGGGAAGGAGGCAAGTTATGGGGGGAAAAGCCACGGTAATCTAGAAGCTGTACTTTGGAAATTTAGATTTGTTAAATAAAAGTTAAAAAAAGAAAGAAAGAAAGATCAGTGCCCATATGGGCTGTTGGCGATGCAGGCTGGGGCTTTAACCCGCTGTGCGAAAGAGCCGTCCCCAATAAATAAAATCTTTAAAAACGAAAATACAATCAACTTTCTAAAAAAAAAAAATCCGAAGAAAGCGAGGAGGTGGTATGTTAATTAGCGTGACTGTGGTGGTAACAAGAAAATCAATCCTTTTAAAAAACACTTTTTATTACAGATATGTTGATTGATTTGAAAGGCAGAGTTCCAGAGAGGGAGAGAGAGGTCTTGCACTCGCTGTTTCACTCCCCAAATGGCCACAACAGCCAGAGCTGAGCTGTTCCGAAGCCTGGATCCGGAGCTTCTTCTGGGTCTGGGTCTGGGTCTCCCACACACACAGGCCCAGGGCCCTGCCCGAGGACTTGGGCAAATCCTCTACTGCTTCCCAGCCATAGCAGAAAGCTGGATCGGAAGACCGGGGCCCCTACGGGATGCAGGCACTGCAGGCCTCTCTCTCTCTCTCTCTCTCTCTCTCTCTCTCTCTATCACTATGTATCTCTCTCTACCTCTCTATCCCTATCTCTATCTCTCTGTATCTCTCTCTACCTCTATCTCATCACTAACTCTACCGCTCTGAACTCTGCCTTCAAACAAAGAAAAAAGAAAAAAATATCCCTGCCCTGCTGGAGCCCGAAGGAATCCCTCCCTCGCTCCTGATTGGACAGTAAGAGCAAGGGGGCGGGCCTGAGGCGCCTAGCGACCTGCGGGAAGCAGAGGCGAGAACTCTGGGAGAACTTGACCACTGGAAAGCGGGTCCGGGCGCCCGAGTCTCAGGCCCGTCCCCTCGTGCGTGGCCCGGGGAGGCCCGCTGCCCACCCACCGCCCGAGAGCACGCGGAGGACGGCAGCCCACGAACGTGGCCACCACGCCCTTGCGGCCCTGGATTTCGCGTTGTCTACGATGGCGCCCCCTGGCGCTCCACGGTGGCGGCGACCCCGGACTCTGGTGGCGGCTGGGGGCCAAGGCCGCGGCGAGGTCGCCAGGCCCGCCTGACTGCCCTCAGGAACCCCATAAATCGTCTTCTTGTGGCACTTCACAAGTATCTAAGTTCACCATTACAAAACGTCCACACACTACAGAAAACCAGCCTCCAGGCTGTGATGCCTCGGACCAGCCCAGAGAGCCCCCCAAACTCCCAGCACATTTGCTTTTGTAAAGAACAAGGCAGAGGAGTGGTCCCTCCAGGGCTGTCTCCAGGTCGCCGGCAGGGGCTCCTACAGACTGCTTCGTCCTTTTTCTTTTTTCTAGGACTGGAAAAAATTCGGCCCTTGAAGTCTGGGGGTTCAGATATCTGCTAGTCGTCTGGCTCGTCGTCATGGAACAAGCGGTACATGCGCACGAGCTCCCCGATGTCATGAGGCAGCGAAGCCCAGGGCGCAGAGGAGTCCAGATGGCTGTTGTGCAGATCGGCGGGCAGCGGGTCCTCGGCAGCCTCGGGGCCCTGCGCCTGGGAGCCCCCGGGGCCCTGCTCTTCCTCCGCAGGCGCGCTGAGCTCCGAGCATGTTGGCGGCGGCGGCGGCGGCGGCGGCGGCGGCAGTGGCAGCAGCAGCGGTGGTGGCAGCGGAGGCGGAGGAGGAGGCTGAGGTGTGGACTCGCTGGGCTGGCGGGGCTGGCCCTTTCGCTGCAGTTTTCTTTGCTGGGCGCGCTGATTTTTAAACCAGGTCTGGGGAGGAAGGGAGGGAGCAGGTTACTCCAGAGGCAAGGACCCCAGGGAGACCCCATGGGCCTCAGAAGCTCGGGGCCCTTGTGGCGTGGGCACGCTGGGCTCAAGCCTCTTTCTCAAACGCTGTGCCGGGCCCGGGAGGGAGCCGCAGGCATCAGGTAAAGGGGAGGGGGCCGGGCAGCCTCTGCCCTGCTCCCAAGCGATCCTCCACAGCAGAACCTAGAACTTTGCGCGCTAGGCTTTGCACCACAAAGGCTCACGTTCTGGGAGCTCGGTCTCTAAGGACACAGTACTGAGAGGTGCGGAGACCCTCGGAGGGGAGGCCTGGTGGGGTCATTCGGCCATGGGGTCGCGCGCAGCCGCCGTGGGCCCTGGGGGCAGTGAACCGGCCGATGGAAGACACCTCTCTCTGCCTCGAACTCGTTCAAAGAGATAAATACATCTTAAAAAAAAAGTCGGTCTCATTGCGTCTCATCCAATACATTGAAAGAAATACAATTTGGAAACGCGCTCCCTGCACACACGTGTTGGCTCAGCCTGCGCGGGCGGCTCTCGGCTGGCTCCCCGCGCTGGGGCTGGGCGGCGCCATCCACCAGGCGCGGTCCTGGCCGCCACCGCCGGCCGGCTCAGACTTGAACTCTTGCGCCCACAACCGCAACCGCAATGCAGCCGCGAGCGCCCCGTCCGCCCGCCCGGGGGAGTCTTTCTTGTCAAGTGCCCACGCGCAGGAAGTTCGGGACAAGTCCCGGGGCAGCCTCTGCCTGCCAGCCTCGCGGGGACTGCGAAGCGCAGCGCGCGCATTGGCCATTGCCCTGAGCAGCCAGCGCAGCGGTGACCACAGCAAGTGAGTGCGCGGCGCGGAGGGCGCGGGGCTCAGGACATACCTTGATCACATACACATCCAGATGAAGCTCGGGCGCTAACTCTTGGACTCGGCTCCAATCTGGGCAGCGGCTGGTTTCTAAAACAGCTTGCAGCATCCCCAGCTGGTCGGGGGTAAAGGCCGTGCGGCTGCGGCGAGAGGACCTGGGCACTGCAGAGGGAACAGCAACACAGGCCTTTGGTTTGCTTTAAGCAAGAATCCATTGGAGTTCCTGATGCAGACATTTGGGGCGTGACCTGGTCCCCGGTTGCTCGGGAGACACCAGCGCTCTCTCTCGGGGTCTCTTCCTCTTTGCCAGGGTCTCGCAAAGGAATTTTGGAAAATGCACCCTGGAAGGCAGAGCCTGATCTCATGGTCATGCATTTTCGACGTGAGCTTGAACTTCACGAGGGGAAGATGTCCTGCTGCCACACACACACACACACACACACAGACACACAGAAACACACACATACATACACAAAAACACACACACATCCACCCACACACACACGCATACATACCTAAATGCACATACATGCATACATACACACCCACACACTCACACCCACACCCACACCCACACCCACACCTGCACCCACACCCTGTGAAGGCATGTGCCAAGCTCCCAGTTTTCTCCCAGCTCATGGGAAAGACAGAGAGAGAGACAGAGAGAGAGAAAAACTGCATAGGGCTTTGGAGGAAGCCCTCAGCCATGGAGGGGTTGGAAAGAGATGGAGAAAGAGCCGCAGGCAGAGGAGAAGGAGGCCAGAAGCACATGTGCGTGGTTAGAATGCAGCCACTGGGGCCGGCCCCTGGGAGGCCTTGCAATGCTGGGTTCCTATCCCAGAGTCCCAGTTGGTAGTCCCAGCTGCTCCACTTCCCACCCAGCTCCCTACAAATGCACCTGGGAAAGCAGTAGAAGATGGCCCAAGTACTCAGGCCCCCACACCCACATGGGAGACCCAGATGGAGCTCCCGGCTCCTGGCTTTGGATTGCACCAGCCCTTGGCCATTGCAGCTACCCATGCAAATACACATGCAAAGGAAATGTTTTTTCATTTTCAGAAGGCGCCTGGCATTGTGGCAGAGTGGGTAAAACCCACCACTGGCAACACTGGTGTCCCATATGCACACTGGGGCAAGGCCCAGCTGCTCCACTGCCTATGCAGCTCCCTGCTCATGTGCCTAGGGAAGCAGCAGAGGACGGCGCAAGTGATGGGACCCCTGCACCCATGTGGGAGAGCTCATTTTTATTATAAAACTCACATTCGAGGATAGACTTTCTTTCTTTCTTTGTTCTTTTTTGAAAAAAAAAAAAAAAGATCGATTCATTTCTTTGAAGGTCAGAGTTACTCCCCAACTGGCCACAATGGCTCGAGCTGTGCCAATGCAAAGGCAGGAGCCAGGAGCTTCTTCCGGGTCTGCCATGCAGGTGCAGGGGCCCAAGGACTTGGGCTGGGTTCTACTGCTTTCCCAGGCCATAGCAGAGGGCTGGATCAGAAAAGGAGCAGCCGGGACTCGAAGCGGCGCCCGGACTCGAAGCGGCGCCCGTATGGGATGCCTGCCCTTCAGGCCGGGGCTTTAAGCCACTGCACCACAGCGCCGGCCCCATCAACTCACTCTTTCAACACACGGTTTTCAAAGAGAAAGATTGTGTCTGTGTCTCCAAACAAGAAATGCACTCTACACTAGGGTTTTCCAAGGCAAAGGAAAATAGGAGAAAATACAGAGAGACTAAGAAATGCATGGAAATAGGAGTCAAAAACTGAGCTCATTCTGGGGCAAAAAGAATGTTTTGGAACGCCATGCATAACTTTTTCTTCCTACCTATTTTCCCAGGAACTTTCTGAAGACCTCTCATCTGCATAGGTGGATTCCAAACAGTTTTTGCCCAAGTCAATGTTTTAAAATCCATTTCCATGAACTTTTCTAGTACCCTTGTGTCACATGGACATTTAAAATATCTGAACAGTGCAACTCGGAAGCAAGTGGAAAACACAAGCCAAAGACTGCAAGGTTTTCTGTGCCAGCAACACCAGAGTTTCCGGGAGACCCCACTGGCTGCCGTGTTAACTGTATGACAGTCACGGGCATCCAAAAGGATGGGAGAGACGACGGACACTCGCTCACTGCTGGCGGGAGCCCTGCAGCAAACTGTGCTCCTGTTTGCTCCATTGCCAGAAGCCAGCGATCCCGCCAACGGCCAAGCCGGTGCCGGCATGGCTTGGCCTACCACCAAGCAAGCCCTGCACAGCCAACCTCTCGCCCACCCGCCTCGGCCACTTGCTCACTCGACATCAGGACGCGGACCGGCAGTATTTCCGAAGCTGCTGCTTCTCCAGCGTCTGCGCTTGTCTGCCCCTTGCCGCCCGCCTGCCCGCCGGCCCGCCCGCCCGCCTGGCTAAAGGATGGCTCCTTTAGAGAAGGAAGCCAACTTGGCATGGTATGAAGTCTTTGATGGACCCTCCCTAAGTCACACCCTAGACCTGATTGACAGATGTGCCGCTTGAAGAGGTGAACCCCAGCCCCTGGCTCCCGGCTCCCCATTGGCACAGCTCTGACCCTTGTGGCCATTTGGGGCGTGAAGCAACGGAAGGCAGACCTTTCTCCCTGTCTCTTCTTCTCACTGTCTGCAGCTCTACCTCTCCAAGAATTCAATAACAACATCCTCAAACAACGATTTATGTTATTTTATTTTACTTTATTTTATTGGAAAGACCAGTGCCCATATGGGCTGTTGGCGCTGCAGGCTGGAGGTTGAACCCGCTGTGCTACAGCGCCGGCCCCAATCAATCCAATCTTTAAAAATGAAAAGACAATCATCATTCTGCAAAAACATCCTAAGAAAGCGAGGAGGTGGTATGTTAATTAGCGTGACTGTGGTGGTCACAAGAAAATCAATCTTTTCAAAAAACACTTTTTGGTACAGATGTGTTGATGGATTGGAAAGGCAGAGTTCCAGCCGCGGCCCTGGCTTGCGCGTTGTCTACGATGGCGCCCCCTGGCGCTCCACGGTGGCGGCGACCCCGGACTCTCTGGTGGCAGCTGGGGGCCAAGGTCGCGGCCAGGTCACCAGGCCCACCTGACTGCCCTCAGGAACCCCATAAATCCTCTTCTTTAAGCACTTCAAAAACATCTAAGTTCACCGTACAAAACGTCCACACATCTACAGAAAACCAACCTCCAGGCTGTGATGCCTCCGACCAGCCCAGAGATCTCCCCAAAATCCCAACACGTTTAGTTTTGCAAAGAATGAGGCAGAGGAGTGGTCCCTTCAGGGCTGTCTCCAGGTCGCCGGCAGGGGCTCCTACATGCTTCATTCTTTTTTTCTTCTTTCTTTTTTCTAGGACTGGGAAAATTTGGCCCTTGAAGTCTGGGGGTTCAGATATCTGCTAGTCGTCGGGCTCGTCGTCATCGAACAAGCCGTACATGCGCACCAGCTCCCCGATGTCATGGGGCAACGAAGCCCAGGGCGCTGAGGAGTCCAGATGGATATTTTGCAGATCGGCGGGCAGCGGGTCTTCGGCAGCCTCGGGGCCATGCGCCTGGGAGCTCTCAGGGCCGTGATCTTCCTGCGAAGGTGCGCTGAGCTCTGAACCTGGTGGTGGTGGGGACTCGCCGGGCTGGCAGGGCTGGCCCTTTCGCTGCAGTTTTCTTTGCTTGGCGCGCTGATTTTTAAACCAGGTCTGGGGAGGAAGGGAGGGAACAGGTTACTCCAGGGGCAAGGACCCCAGGGAGACCCCATGGGCCTCAGAAGCTCGGGGCCCTTGTGGCGTGGGCACGCTGGGCTCAAGCCTCTTTCTCAAACGCTGTGCCGGGCCTGGGAGGGAGCCGCTGGCATCAGGTAAAGGGGAGGGGGCCGGGCAGCCTCTGCCCTGCTCCCAAGCGATCCTCCGCTGCAGAACTTAGAACTTTGCGCGCTAGGCTTTGCACCACAAAGGCTCACGTTCTGGGAGCTCGGTCTCTAAGGACACAGTACTGAGAGGTGCGGAGACCCTCGGAGGGGAGGCCTGGTGGGGTCATTCGGCCATGGGGTCTAAGCAGCCTCAAACTCTTTCAAATAAATAATAAATAAATCTTAAAAAAGAAATTCTGTCTCATTGCCTCTCACACAATACATTGAAAGAAATACACTTTGGAAACGCGCTCCCCGCACACACGTGTTCGCTCCGCCTGGCCTGCGCGGGCGGCCCTTGGCTGGCTCCCGCGCTGGGGCTGGGCGGAGCCATCCACCAGGCATAGTCCTGGCCACCTGCTCACACTTGAACTCTTCTGCCCCAAGGCAGCCGCGAGCGCCAGGGGCAGTCTATCTTGTCAAGGGCCCACCCGCAGGGACTTCGGGACCAGCCCCGCGCCAGCCTCTGCCTGCCAGCTTCGCAGGGACTGCAAAGCGCGTGCATTGGCGACTGCCCTGAGCGGCCAGCACAGCGGTGACCGCAAGCGAGTGAGTGCATGGCACGGAGGGCATAGGGCTCGGGACATACCTTGATCACACACTCATCCAAACATAGCTTTGCCGCTAACTCTTGTATCTTCTCCCAGTCAGGACAGGGGGTCGTTTCGAAAACAGCTTTCAACATCCCCAACTGGTCGGGGGTAAAGTCTGTGCGGCTGCGGCGAGCACACCTGGGCGCTGCAGAGGGAACAGGAACAAAGGGCTTTGGTTTGCTTTCAGAAAGAATCCATTGGCCATCCTGATGCCGGCTTTGGCTCCAGCAGCCACTGCATGCATTTCGGGAGCGAGCCGGTAGACAGCAGCGCTCTCGGGGTCTCTCCTCTTTGCCTGGGTCTCCCAAAGGAATTTTGGAAAATGCACCGAGGAAGGCAGAGCCTGATCTCATGGTCATGCATTTTCGCCGTGAGCTTGAGCTTCACGAGGGGAAGATGTCCTGCTGCCACACACACACACACACACACACACATACATACATACAAACCCACACACACAGTAAGACACAGACACAGAAAGTCACACACACATACATACTCATGCATACACACCCACACACCCACGACATACATACATACATACATACACACACATACATAAGAACCCACACACTAACACAAAGACAGACACATACAGACACACACAGAAAGATACACACATGTACATACACACATATGCAAACATATATACAAACCCACACACAAACACAAACAAGACACACACAGACAAACACACACATACATACACATACATACATTCATACACACCCACACCCACAGCCTGTGAAGGCAAGTGCCAAGCTCGCAGTTTTCTCCCAGCTCATGGGAAAGACAGAGAGAGAGACAGAGAGAGAGAAAAACTGCATAGGGCTTTGGAGGAAGCCCTCAGCCATGGAGGGGTTGGAAAGAGATGGAGAAAGAGCCGCAGGCAGAGGAGAAGGAGGCCAGAAGCACATGTGCGTGGTTAGAATGCAGCCACTGGGGCCGGCCCCTGGGAGGCCTTGCAATGCTGGGTTCCTATCCCAGAGTCCCAGTTGGAGTCCCGGCTGCTCCACTTCCCACCCAGCTCCCTACAAATGCACCTGGGAAAGCAGTAGAAGATGGCCCAAGTACTCAGGCCCCCACACCCACATGGGAGACCCAGATGGAGCTCCCGGCTCCTGGCTTTGGATTGCACCAGCCCTTGGCCATTGCAGCTACCCATGCAAATACACATGCAAAGGAAATGTTTTTTCATTTTCAGAAGGCGCCTGGCATTGTGGCAGAGTGGGTAAAACCCACCACTGGCAACACTGGCGTCCCATATGCACACTGGGGCAAGGCCCAGCTGCTCCACTGCCTATGCAGCTCCCTGCTCATGTGCCTAGGGAAGCAGCAGAGGACGGCGCAAGTGATGGGACCCCTGCACCCATGTGGGAGAGCTCATTTTTATTATAAAACTCACATTCGAGGATAGACTTTCTTTCTTTCTTTGTTCTTTTTTGAAAAAAAAAAAAAAGATCGATTCATTTCTTTGAAGGTCAGAGTTACTCCCCAACTGGCCACAATGGCTCGAGCTGTGCCAATGCAAAGGCAGGAGCCAGGAGCTTCTTCCGGGTCTGCCATGCAGGTGCAGGGGCCCAAGGACTTGGGCTGTGTTCTACTGCTTTCCCAGGCCATAGCAGAGGGCTGGATCAGAAAAGGAGCAGCCGGGACTCGAAGCGGCGCCCGGACTCGAAGCGGCGCCCGTATGGGATGCCTGCCCTTCAGGCCGGGGCTTTAAGCCGCTGCACCACAGCGCCGGCCCCATCAACTCACTCTTTCAACACACGGTTTTCAAAGAGAAAGATTGTGTCTGTGTCTCCAAACAAGAAATGCACTCTACACTAGGGTTTTCCAAGGCAAAGGAAAATAGGAGAAAATACAGAGAGACTAAGAAATGCATGGAAATAGGAGTCAAAAACTGAGCTCATTCTGGGGCAAAAAGAATGTTTTGGAACGCCATGCATAACTTTTTCTTCCTACCTATTTTCCCAGGAACTTTCTGAAGACCCTCTCATCTGCATAGGTGGATTCCAAACAGTTTTTGCCCAAGTCAATGTTTTAAAATCCATTTCCATGAACTTTTCTAGTAGCCTTGCTGTCACATGGACATTTAAAATATCTGAACAGTGCAACTCGGAAGCAAGTGGAAAACACAAGCCAAAGACTGGAAGGTTTTCTGTGCCAGCAACACCAGAGTTTCCGGGAGACCCAACTAGCTGCCGTGTTAACTGTATGACAGTCACGGGCATCCAAAAGGATGGGAGAGACGACGGACACTCGCTCACTGCTGGCGGGAGCCCTGCAGCAAACTGTGCTCCTGTTTGCTCCATTGCCAGAAGCCAGCGATCCCGCCAACGGCCAAGCCGGTGCCGGCATGGCTTGGCCTACCACCAAGCAAGCCCTGCACAGCCAACCTCTCGCCCACCCGCCTCGGCCACTTGCTCACTCGACATCAGGACGCGGACCGGCAGTATTTCCGAAGCTGCTGCTTCTCCAGCGTCTGCGCTTGTCTGCCCCTTGCCGCCCGCCTGCCCGCCGGCCCGCCCGCCCGCCTGGCTAAAGGATGGCTCCTTTAGAGAAGGAAGCCAACTTGGCATGGTATGAAGTCTTTGATGGACCCTCCCTAAGTCACACCCTAGACCTGATTGACAGATGTGCCGCTTGAAGAGGTGAACCCCAGCCCCTGGCTCCCGGCTCCCCATTGGCACAGCTCTGACCCTTGTGGCCATTTGGGGCGTGAAGCAACGGAAGGCAGACCTTTCTCCCTGTCTCTTCTTCTCACTGTCTGCAGCTCTACCTCTCCAAGAATTCAATAACAACATCCTCAAACAACGATTTATGTTATTTTATTTTACTTTATTTTATTGGAAAGACCAGTGCCCATATGGGCTGTTGGCGCTGCAGGCTGGAGGTTGAACCCGCTGTGCTACAGCGCCGGCCCCAATCAATCCAATCTTTAAAAATGAAAAGACAATCATCATTCTGCAAAAACATCCTAAGAAAGCGAGGAGGTGGTATGTTAATTAGCGTGACTGTGGTGGTAACAAGAAAATCAATCTTTTCAAAAAACACTTTTTGGTACAGATGTGTTGATGGATTGGAAAGGCAGAGTTCCAGCCGCGGCCCTGGCTTGCGCGTTGTCTACGATGGCGCCCCCTGGCGCTCCACGGTGGCGGCGACCCCGGACTCTCTGGTGGCAGCTGGGGGCCAAGGTCGCGGCCAGGTCACCAGGCCCACCTGACTGCCCTCAGGAACCCCATAAATCCTCTTCTTTAAGCACTTCAAAAACATCTAAGTTCACCGTTACAAAACGTCCACACACTGCAGAAAACCAACCTCCAGGCTGTGATGCCTCCGACCAGCCCAGAGATCTCCCCAAAATCCCAACACGTTTAGTTTTGCAAAGAACGAGGCAGAGGAGTGGTCCCTTCAGGGCTGTCTCCAGGTCGCCGGCAGGGGCTCCTACATGCTTCATTCTTTTTTTCTTCTTTCTTTTTTCTAGGACTGGGAAAATTTGGCCCTTGAAGTCTGGGGGTTCAGATATCTGCTAGTCGTCGGGCTCGTCGTCATCGAACAAGCCGTACATGCGCACCAGCTCCCCGATGTCATGGGGCAACGAAGCCCAGGGCGCTGAGGAGTCCAGATGGATATTTTGCAGATCGGCGGGCAGCGGGTCTTCGGCAGCCTCGGGGCCATGCGCCTGGGAGCTCTCAGGGCCGTGATCTTCCTGCGAAGGTGCGCTGAGCTCTGAACCTGGTGGTGGTGGGGACTCGCCGGGCTGGCAGGGCTGGCCCTTTCGCTGCAGTTTTCTTTGCTTGGCGCGCTGATTTTTAAACCAGGTCTGGGGAGGAAGGGAGGGAACAGGTTACTCCAGGGGCAAGGACCCCAGGGAGACCCCATGGGCCTCAGAAGCTCGGGGCCCTTGTGGCGTGGGCACGCTGGGCTCAAGCCTCTTTCTCAAACGCTGTGCCGGGCCTGGGAGGGAGCCGCTGGCATCAGGTAAAGGGGAGGGGGCCGGGCAGCCTCTGCCCTGCTCCCAAGCGATCCTCCGCTGCAGAACCTAGAACTTTGCGCGCTAGGCTTTGCACCACAAAGGCTCACGTTCTGGGAGCTCGGTCTCTAAGGACACAGTACTGAGAGGTGCGGAGACCCTCGGAGGGGAGGCCTGGTGGGGTCATTCGGCCATGGGGTCTAAGCCGCCTCAAACTCTTTCAAATAAATAATAAATAAATCTTAAAAAAGAAATTCTGTCTCATTGCCTCTCACACAATACATTGAAAGAAATACACTTTGGAAACGCGCTCCCCGCACACACGTGTTCGCTCCGCCTGGCCTGCGCGGGCGGCCCTTGGCTGGCTCCCGCGCTGGGGCTGGGCGGAGCCATCCACCAGGCATAGTCCTGGCCACCTGCTCACACTTGAACTCTTCTGCCCCAAGGCAGCCGCGAGCGCCAGGGGCAGTCTATCTTGTCAAGGGCCCACCCGCAGGGACTTCGGGACCAGCCCCGCGCCAGCCTCTGCCTGCCAGCTTCGCAGGGACTGCAAAGCGCGCGCATTGGCGACTGCCCTGAGCGGCCAGCACAGCGGTGACTGCAAGCGAGTGAGTGCATGGCACGGAGGGCATAGGGCTCGGGACATACCTTGATCACACACTCATCCAAACATAGCTTTGCCGCTAACTCTTGTATCTTCTCCCAGTCAGGACAGGGGGTCGTTTCGAAAACAGCTTTCAACATCCCCAACTGGTCGGGGGTAAAGTCTGTGCGGCTGCGGCGAGCACACCTGGGCGCTGCAGAGGGAACAGGAACAAAGGGCTTTGGTTTGCTTTCAGAAAGAATCCATTGGCCATCCTGATGCCGGCTTTGGCTCCAGCAGCCACTGCATGCATTTCGGGAGCGAGCCGGTAGACAGCAGCGCTCTCGGGGTCTCTCCTCTTTGCCTGGGTCTCCCAAAGGAATTTTGGAAAATGCACCCTGGAAGGCAGAGCCTGATCTCATGGTCATGCATTTTCGCCGTGAGCTTGAGCTTCACGAGGGGAAGATGTCCTGCTGCCACACACACACACACACACACACACATACATACATACAAACCCACACACACAGTAAGACACAGACACAGAAAGTCACACACACATACATACTCATACATACACACCCACACACCCACGACATACATACATACATACCTACACACACATACATAAGAACCCACACACTAACACAAAGACAGACACATACAGACACACACAGAAAGATACACACATGTACATACACACATATGCAAACATATATACAAACCCACACACAAACACAAACAAGACACACACAGACAAACACACACATACATACACATACATACATTCATACACACCCACACCCACACCCTGTGAAGGCAAGTGCCAAGCTCGCAGTTTTCTCCCAGCTCATGGGAAAGACAGAGAGAGAGTCAGAGAGAGAGAAAAACTGCATAGGGCTTTGGAGGAAGCCCTCAGCCATGGAGGGGATTGGAAAGAGATGGAGAAAGAGCCGCAGGCAGAGGAGAAGGAGGCCAGAAGCACATGTGCGTGGTTAGAGTGCAGCCACTGGGGCCGGCCCCTGGGAGGCCTTGCAATGCTGGGTTCCTATCCCAGAGTCCCAGTTGGAGTCCCGGCTGCTCCACTTCCCACCCAGCTCCCTGCAAGTGCACCTGGGAAAGCAGTAGAAGATGGCCCAAGTACTCAGGCCCCCACACCCACATGGAAGACCCAGATGGAGCTCCCGGCTCCTGGCTTTGGATTGCACCAGCCCTTGGCCATTGCAGCTACCCAAGCAAATACACATACAAAGTAAATTTTTTTTCATTTTCAGAAGGCGCCTGGCATTGTGGCAGAGTGGGTAAAACCCACCACTGGCAACACTGGCGTCCCATATGGACACTGGGACAAGGCCCAGCTGCTCCGCTGCCTATGCAGCTCCCTGCTCATGTGCCTAGGGAAGCAGCAGACAACAGCCAAAAGATAGCACCCCTGCACCCATGTGGGAGAGCTTATTTTTATTATAAAACTTGCATTCAAGGATATACTTTCTTTTTTTTTAAAAGAAAAAAAAGGTCTATTCATTTATTTGATGGTCAGAGTTACACAGAGAAAGAAGGAGAGACAGAGAGAGAGAGAGAGAGAGACAGAGAGAGAGAGAGTGTTCCATCCACTGGTTCACTCCCCAACTGGCCACAATGACATGAGCTGTGCCAATCCAAAGGCAGGAGCCAGGAGCTTCTTCCCGGTCTCCCATGTGGGTGCAGGGGCCCATCTTTTCCTGCTTTCCCAGGCCATGCCAGAGAGCGGGATCAGAAGAGGAGCAGCCTGGACTTGAACCGGAGCCCATATGGGATGCCTGCACTTCCAGCCAGGGCTTTAACCCACTGCACCACAGCGCCGGCCCCATCAACGAACACTTTAAACAAAACTTTTTAAAAGAGAAAGATTGTATCTGTGTCTCCAGACAAGAAATGCACTCTACACTAGGTTGTTCCAATGCAAAGGAAAACATGAGAAAATACAGAGAGACTAAGAAATGCATGGAAAAAATGAGTCAAAAAATGGGTTCATTCTGGTGCAAAAAACAATTTTTTGAAAGCCATGCATAACTTTTTCTTTTCTTTTTATATTTAGACGGGCAGAGTTGGACAGTGAGAGAGAAACAGAGAGAAAGGTCTTCCTTCCGTTGGTTCACCCCCGCTCCCCTAATGACCAATACAGCCGGCCTTCGCGCTGTGCCGATCTGAAGCCAGGAGCCAGGTGCTTCCTCCTGGTCTCCCATGCGGGTGCAGGGCCCAAGCACCTGGGCCATCTTCCACTGCCTTCCTGGGCCACAGCAGAGAGCTGGACTGGAAGAGGAGCAACCAGGACTAGGACCCAGCACCTATATGGGATGCCAGCGCCACAGGCAGAAGATTAACTGAGTGAGCCACGGCCACTGTCCCCATCACTTTTGCTTCACCCCTAGTTTCCCACACACTTTGTGAAGACCTCTTATCTGCTTAGGTTTCCAAACAGTTGTTCCCCAATCAAATGGTTTAAAATCAATTTCCACCCTGTGTCACATAAACATTTAAAAGATCTGAACAGTGAAACTGCTAAGCAAATTGAAAACACAGTTTTCAAGACTGGAAGGTTTTCTGTGCAACCAACATCAGAGTTTCTGGGAGACAACAAAGATACTCTACAAAACAACCAAAAACGAAACGCACAGTTCTTTAAAATGAGAAAGGTCAGAAACAGGCAATGAGCATTCAAGAGGAAGCAGAATGGTGTCTAAAACAGTGATGCAGCCCTGTCCCCTCGATGGCTTGGGAAGTGCGTCACAGACCAGAGATTATGGGAGAGACCCAACTGGCTGCCGTGTTAACTGTATGCCAGTCACGGGCATCCAAAAGGATGGGAGAGACGACGGACACTCACTCACTGCTGGCGGGAGCCCAGTAGCAAACTGTGCTCCTGTTTGCTCCATTGCTATAAGCCAGCGATCCCGCCAACGGCCAACCTGGTGCCGGCATGGCTTGGCCTACCACCAAGCAAGCCCTGCACAGCCAACCTCTCGCCCACCCGCCTCGGCCACTTGCTCACTCGACATCACGACTCGGACCGGCAGTATTTCCGAAGCTGCTTCTTCTCCAGCGTCTGTGTTTGTCTGCCCCCTGCCACCCGGACGGCTCCTTTCTAGAACAGAGCCAACTCCTGACGGTATTAAGTCACACCCTAGACCAGATTGACAGATGTAGCACTTGAAGAGCTTATCAGATACATGGGATTAACAGATGCCAATTTACCTCGGAATCAGCCCTTAAGATGTTCGGATCCGGCTGAAGAGCCCATGAGAGTATTTTAGGCATGGAAAGCCAAGACACTCTGGAAAAAAAAAAAAAAAAAAAACCTAAATGAAAGATCTCTGCGAGTGAGAGAGATCCCAGTGGAAAGAACATGCCATCAAAGGAGGAGGTACCCTTCTCTGAAGGGAATTTCCACTTTGACTATGACCTTGTCTAAATAAGATGGGAGTTGGCAAACTCAAAAGGCTTCCCTAACCTAGGCAACTCAATAGCCTAGGGTGATTACTGACCCCAGAAACAAGAGTGTCAATTTCTTAGTCAACAACAGGAGTCACTGTGCACTTCCTCCTCATGTAGGATCTCTGCCCTTCACGTGTTGTAAAATGTGAATTCTTCCTATAACTAGTACTCAAACAGTACTTGACGCTTTGTGTTTCTGTGTGGGTGCAAACAGTTGAAATCTTTACTTACTATATACTATATTGATCTTCTGTATATAAAGATAATTGAAAATGAATCTTGATGTGAATGGAATGGGAGAGGGAGCGGGAGATGGGAGGATTGGATTGCGGGAAGGAGGCAAGTTATGGGGGGAAAAAGCCACGGTAATCTAGAAGCTGTACTTTGGAAATTTAGATTTGTTAAATAAAAGTTAAAAAAAGAAAGAAAGAAAGATCAGTGCCCATATGGGCTGTTGGCGATGCAGGCTGGGGCTTTAACCCGCTGTGCGAAAGAGCCGTCCCCAATAAATAAAATCTTTAAAAACGAAAATACAATCAACTTTCTAAAAAAAAAAAATCCGAAGAAAGCGAGGAGGTGGTATGTTAATTAGCGTGACTGTGGTGGTAACAAGAAAATCAATCCTTTTAAAAAACACTTTTTATTACAGATATGTTGATTGATTTGAAAGGCAGAGTTCCAGAGAGGGAGAGAGAGGTCTTGCACTCGCTGTTTCACTCCCCAAATGGCCACAACAGCCAGAGCTGAGCTGTTCCGAAGCCTGGATCCGGAGCTTCTTCTGGGTCTGGGTCTGGGTCTCCCACACACACAGGCCCAGGGCCCTGCCCGAGGACTTGGGCAAATCCTCTACTGCTTCCCAGCCATAGCAGAAAGCTGGATCGGAAGACCGGGGCCCCTACGGGATGCAGGCACTGCAGGCCTCTCTCTCTCTCTCTCTCTCTCTCTCTCTCTATCACTATGTATCTCTCTCTACCTCTCTATCCCTATCTCTATCTCTCTGTATCTCTCTCTACCTCTATCTCATCACTAACTCTACCGCTCTGAACTCTGCCTTCAAACAAAGAAAAAAGAAAAAAATATCCCTGCCCTGCTGGAGCCCGAAGGAATCCCTCCCTCGCTCCTGATTGGACAGTAAGAGCAAGGGGGCGGGCCTGAGGCGCCTAGCGACCTGCGGGAAGCAGAGGCGAGAACTCTGGGAGAACTTGACCACTGGAAAGCGGGTCCGGGCGCCCGAGTCTCAGGCCCGTCCCCTCGTGCGTGGCCCGGGGAGGCCCGCTGCCCACCCACCGCCCGAGAGCACGCGGAGGACGGCAGCCCACGAACGTGGCCACCACGCCCTTGCGGCCCTGGATTTCGCGTTGTCTACGATGGCGCCCCCTGGCGCTCCACGGTGGCGGCGACCCCGGACTCTGGTGGCGGCTGGGGGCCAAGGCCGCGGCGAGGTCGCCAGGCCCGCCTGACTGCCCTCAGGAACCCCATAAATCGTCTTCTTGTGGCACTTCACAAGTATCTAAGTTCACCATTACAAAACGTCCACACACTACAGAAAACCAGCCTCCAGGCTGTGATGCCTCGGACCAGCCCAGAGAGCCCCCCAAACTCCCAGCACATTTGCTTTTGTAAAGAACAAGGCAGAGGAGTGGTCCCTCCAGGGCTGTCTCCAGGTCGCCGGCAGGGGCTCCTACAGACTGCTTCGTCCTTTTTCTTTTTTCTAGGACTGGAAAAAATTCGGCCCTTGAAGTCTGGGGGTTCAGATATCTGCTAGTCGTCTGGCTCGTCGTCATGGAACAAGCGGTACATGCGCACGAGCTCCCCGATGTCATGAGGCAGCGAAGCCCAGGGCGCAGAGGAGTCCAGATGGATGTTGTGCAGATCGGCGGGCAGCGGGTCCTCGGCAGCCTCGGGGCCCTGCGCCTGGGAGCCCCCGGGGCCCTGCTCTTCCTCCGCAGGCGCGCTGAGCTCCGAGCATGTTGGCGGCGGCGGCGGCGGCGGCGGCGGCAGTGGCAGCAGCAGCGGTGGTGGCAGCGGAGGCGGAGGAGGAGGCTGAGGTGTGGACTCGCTGGGCTGGCGGGGCTGGCCCTTTCGCTGCAGTTTTCTTTGCTTGGCGCGCTGATTTTTAAACCAGGTCTGGGGAGGAAGGGAGGGAGCAGGTTACTCCAGAGGCAAGGACCCCAGGGAGACCCCATGGGCCTCAGAAGCTCGGGGCCCTTGTGGCGTGGGCACGCTGGGCTCAAGCCTCTTTCTCAAACGCTGTGCCGGGCCCGGGAGGGAGCCGCAGGCATCAGGTAAAGGGGAGGGGGCCGGGCAGCCTCTGCCCTGCTCCCAAGCGATCCTCCACAGCAGAACTTAGAACTTTGCGCGCTAGGCTTTGCACCACAAAGGCTCACGTTCTGGGAGCTCGGTCTCTAAGGACACAGTACTGAGAGGTGCGGAGACCCTCGGAGGGGAGGCCTGGTGGGGTCATTCGGCCATGGGGTCGCGCGCAGCCGCCGTGGGCCCTGGGGGCAGTGAACCGGCCGATGGAAGACACCTCTCTCTGCCTCGAACTCGTTCAAAGAGATAAATACATCTTAAAAAAAAAGTCGGTCTCATTGCGTCTCATCCAATACATTGAAAGAAATACAATTTGGAAACGCGCTCCCTGCACACACGTGTTGGCTCAGCCTGCGCGGGCGGCTCTCGGCTGGCTCCCCGCGCTGGGGCTGGGCGGCGCCATCCACCAGGCGCGGTCCTGGCCGCCACCGCCGGCCGGCTCAGACTTGAACTCTTGCGCCCACAACCGCCACCGCAATGCAGCCGCGAGCGCCCCGTCCGCCCGCCCGGGGGAGTCTTTCTTGTCAAGTGCCCACGCGCAGGAAGTTCGGGACAAGTCCCGGGGCAGCCTCTGCCTGCCAGCCTCGCGGGGACTGCGAAGCGCAGCGCGCGCATTGGCCATTGCCCTGAGCAGCCAGCGCAGCGGTGACCACAGCAAGTGAGTGCGCGGCGCGGAGGGCGCGGGGCTCAGGACATACCTTGATCACATACACATCCAGATGAAGCTCGGGCGCTAACTCTTGGACTCGGCTCCAATCTGGGCAGCGGCTGGTTTCTAAAACAGCTTGCAGCATCCCCAGCTGGTCGGGGGTAAAGGCCGTGCGGCTGCGGCGAGAGGACCTGGGCACTGCAGAGGGAACAGCAACACAGGCCTTTGGTTTGCTTTAAGCAAGAATCCATTGGAGTTCCTGATGCAGACATTTGGGGCGTGACCTGGTCCCCGGTTGCTCGGGAGACACCAGCGCTCTCTCTCGGGGTCTCTTCCTCTTTGCCAGGTCTCGCAAAGGAATTTTGGAAAATGCACCCTGGAAGGCAGAGCCTGATCTCATGGTCATGCATTTTCGACGTGAGCTTGAACTTCACGAGGGGAAGATGTCCTGCTGCCACACACACACACACACACACACAGACACACAGAAACACACACATACATACACAAAAACACACACACATCCACCCACACACACACGCATACATACCTAAATGCACATACATGCATACATACACACCCACACACTCACACCCACACCCACACCCACACCCACACCTGCACCCACACCCTGTGAAGGCATGTGCCAAGCTCGCAGTTTTCTCCCAGCTCATGGGAAAGACAGAGAGAGAGACAGAGAGAGAGAAAAACTGCATAGGGCTTTGGAGGAAGCCCTCAGCCATGGAGGGGTTGGAAAGAGATGGAGAAAGAGCCGCAGGCAGAGGAGAAGGAGGCCAGAAGCACATGTGCGTGGTTAGAGTGCAGCCACTGGGGCCGGCCCCTGGGAGGCCTTGCAATGCTGGGTTCCTATCCCAGAGTCCCAGTTGGTGTCCCAGCTGCTCCACTTCCCACCCAGCTCCCTACAAATGCACCTGGGAAAGCAGTAGAAGATGGCCCAAGTACTCAGGCCCCCACACCCACATGGGAGACCCAGATGGAGCTCCCGGCTCCTGGCTTTGGATTGCACCAGCCCTTGGCCATTGCAGCTACCCATGCAAATACACATGCAAAGGAAATGTTTTTTCATTTTCAGAAGGCGCCTGGCATTGTGGCAGAGTGGGTAAAACCCACCACTGGCAACACTGGTGTCCCATATGCACACTGGGGCAAGGCCCAGCTGCTCCACTGCCTATGCAGCTCCCTGCTCATGTGCCTAGGGAAGCAGCAGAGGACGGCGCAAGTGATGGGACCCCTGCACCCATGTGGGAGAGCTCATTTTTATTATAAAACTCACATTCGAGGATAGACTTTCTTTCTTTCTTTGTTCTTTTTTGAAAAAAAAAAAAAAAGATCGATTCATTTCTTTGAAGGTCAGAGTTACTCCCCAACTGGCCACAATGGCTCGAGCTGTGCCAATGCAAAGGCAGGAGCCAGGAGCTTCTTCCGGGTCTGCCATGCAGGTGCAGGGGCCCAAGGACTTGGGCTGTGTTCTACTGCTTTCCCAGGCCATAGCAGAGGGCTGGATCAGAAAAGGAGCAGCCGGGACTCGAAGCGGCGCCCGGACTCGAAGCGGCGCCCGTATGGGATGCCTGCCCTTCAGGCCGGGGCTTTAAGCCACTGCACCACAGCGCCGGCCCCATCAACTCACTCTTTCAACACACGGTTTTCAAAGAGAAAGATTGTGTCTGTGTCTCCAAACAAGAAATGCACTCTACACTAGGGTTTTCCAAGGCAAAGGAAAATAGGAGAAAATACAGAGAGACTAAGAAATGCATGGAAATAGGAGTCAAAAACTGAGCTCATTCTGGGGCAAAAAGAATGTTTTGGAACGCCATGCATAACTTTTTCTTCCTACCTATTTTCCCAGGAACTTTCTGAAGACCTCTCATCTGCATAGGTGGATTCCAAACAGTTTTTGCCCAAGTCAATGTTTTAAAATCCATTTCCATGAACTTTTCTAGTACCCTTGTGTCACATGGACATTTAAAATATCTGAACAGTGCAACTCGGAAGCAAGTGGAAAACACAAGCCAAAGACTGCAAGGTTTTCTGTGCCAGCAACACCAGAGTTTCCGGGAGACCCCACTGGCTGCCGTGCGAACTGTATGACAGTCACGGGCATCCCAAAGGATGGGAGAGACGACGGACACTCGCTCACTGCTGGCGGGAGCCCTGCAGCAAACTGTGCTCCTGTTTGCTCCATTGCCAGAAGCCAGCGATCCCGCCAACGGCCAAGCCGGTGCCGGCATGGCTTGGCCTACCACCAAGCAAGCCCTGCACAGCCAACCTCTCGCCCACCCGCCTCGGCCACTTGCTCACTCGACATCAGGACGCGGACCGGCAGTATTTCCGAAGCTGCTGCTTCTCCAGCGTCTGCGCTTGTCTGCCCCTTGCCGCCCGCCTGCCCGCCGGCCCGCCCGCCCGCCTGGCTAAAGGATGGCTCCTTTAGAGAAGGAAGCCAACTTGGCATGGTATGAAGTCTTTGATGGACCCTCCCTAAGTCACACCCTAGACCTGATTGACAGATGTGCCGCTTGAAGAGGTGAACCCCAGCCCCTGGCTCCCGGCTCCCCATTGGCACAGCTCTGACCCTTGTGGCCATTTGGGGCGTGAAGCAACGGAAGGCAGACCTTTCTCCCTGTCTCTTCTTCTCACTGTCTGCAGCTCTACCTCTCCAAGAATTCAATAACAACATCCTCAAACAACGATTTATGTTATTTTATTTTACTTTATTTTATTGGAAAGACCAGTGCCCATATGGGCTGTTGGCGCTGCAGGCTGGAGGTTGAACCCGCTGTGCTACAGCGCCGGCCCCAATCAATCCAATCTTTAAAAATGAAAAGACAATCATCATTCTGCAAAAACATCCTAAGAAAGCGAGGAGGTGGTATGTTAATTAGCGTGACTGTGGTGGTAACAAGAAAATCAATCTTTTCAAAAAACACTTTTTGGTACAGATGTGTTGATGGATTGGAAAGGCAGAGTTCCAGCCGCGGCCCTGGCTTGCGCGTTGTCTACGATGGCGCCCCCTGGCGCTCCACGGTGGCGGCGACCCCGGACTCTCTGGTGGCAGCTGGGGGCCAAGGTCGCGGCCAGGTCACCAGGCCCACCTGACTGCCCTCAGGAACCCCATAAATCCTCTTCTTTAAGCACTTCAAAAACATCTAAGTTCACCACTACAAAACGTCCACAATCTACAGAAAACCAACCTCCAGGCTGTGATGCCTCCGACCAGCCCAGAGATCTCCCCAAAATCCCAACACGTTTAGTTTTGCAAAGAATGAGGCAGAGGAGTGGTCCCTTCAGGGCTGTCTCCAGGTCGCCGGCAGGGGCTCCTACATGCTTCATTCTTTTTTTCTTCTTTCTTTTTTCTAGGACTGGGAAAATTTGGCCCTTGAAGTCTGGGGGTTCAGATATCTGCTAGTCGTCGGGCTCGTCGTCATCGAACAAGCCGTACATGCGCACCAGCTCCCCGATGTCATGGGGCAACGAAGCCCAGGGCGCTGAGGAGTCCAGATGGATATTTTGCAGATCGGCGGGCAGCGGGTCTTCGGCAGCCTCGGGGCCATGCGCCTGGGAGCTCTCAGGGCCGTGATCTTCCTGCGAAGGTGCGCTGAGCTCTGAACCTGGTGGTGGTGGGGACTCGCCGGGCTGGCAGGGCTGGCCCTTTCGCTGCAGTTTTCTTTGCTTGGCGCGCTGATTTTTAAACCAGGTCTGGGGAGGAAGGGAGGGAACAGGTTACTCCAGGGGCAAGGACCCCAGGGAGACCCCATGGGCCTCAGAAGCTCGGGGCCCTTGTGGCGTGGGCACGCTGGGCTCAAGCCTCTTTCTCAAACGCTGTGCCGGGCCTGGGAGGGAGCCGCTGGCATCAGGTAAAGGGGAGGGGGCCGGGCAGCCTCTGCCCTGCTCCCAAGCGATCCTCCGCTGCAGAACTTAGAACTTTGCGCGCTAGGCTTTGCACCACAAAGGCTCACGTTCTGGGAGCTCGGTCTCTAAGGACACAGTACTGAGAGGTGCGGAGACCCTCGGAGGGGAGGCCTGGTGGGGTCATTCGGCCATGGGGTCTAAGCAGCCTCAAACTCTTTCAAATAAATAATAAATAAATCTTAAAAAAGAAATTCTGTCTCATTGCCTCTCACACAATACATTGAAAGAAATACACTTTGGAAACGCGCTCCCCGCACACACGTGTTCGCTCCGCCTGGCCTGCGCGGGCGGCCCTTGGCTGGCTCCCGCGGGCTGGGCGGAGCCATCCACCAGGCATAGTCCTGGCCACCTGCTCACACTTGAACTCTTCTGCCCCAAGGCAGCCGCGAGCGCCAGGGGCAGTCTATCTTGTCAAGGGCCCACCCGCAGGGACTTCGGGACCAGCCCCGCGCCAGCCTCTGCCTGCCAGCTTCGCAGGGACTGCAAAGCGCGTGCATTGGCGACTGCCCTGAGCGGCCAGCACAGCGGTGACCGCAAGCGAGTGAGTGCATGGCACGGAGGGCATAGGGCTCGGGACATACCTTGATCACACACTCATCCAAACATAGCTTTGCCGCTAACTCTTGTATCTTCTCCCAGTCAGGACAGGGGGTCGTTTCGAAAACAGCTTTCAACATCCCCAACTGGTCGGGGGTAAAGTCTGTGCGGCTGCGGCGAGCACACCTGGGCGCTGCAGAGGGAACAGGAACAAAGGGCTTTGGTTTGCTTTCAGAAAGAATCCATTGGCCATCCTGATGCCGGCTTTGGCTCCAGCAGCCACTGCATGCATTTCGGGAGCGAGCCGGTAGACAGCAGCGCTCTCGGGGTCTCTCCTCTTTGCCTGGGTCTCCCAAAGGAATTTTGGAAAATGCACCGAGGAAGGCAGAGCCTGATCTCATGGTCATGCATTTTCGCCGTGAGCTTGAGCTTCACGAGGGGAAGATGTCCTGCTGCCACACACACACACACACACACACATACATACATAAATACAAACCCACACACACAGTAAGACACAGACACAGAAAGTCACACACACATACATACTCATACATACACACCCACACACCCACGACATACATACATACATACATACACACACATACATACATAAGAACCCACACACTAACACAAAGACAGACACATACAGACACACACAGAAAGATACACACATGTACATACACACATATGCAAACATATATACAAACCCACACACAAACACAAACAAGACACACACAGACAAACACACACATACATACACATACATACATTCATACACACCCACACCCACACCCTGTGAAGGCAAGTGCCAAGCTCGCAGTTTTCTCCCAGCTCATGGGAAAGACAGAGAGAGAGTCAGAGAGAGAGAAAAACTGCATAGGGCTTTGGAGGAAGCCCTCAGCCATGGAGGGGTTGGAAAGAGATGGAGAAAGAGCCGCAGGCAGAGGAGAAGGAGGCCAGAAGCACATGTGCGTGGTTAGAGTGCAGCCACTGGGGCCGGCCCCTGGGAGGCCTTGCAATGCTGGGTTCCTATCCCAGAGTCCCAGTTGGAGTCCCGGCTGCTCCACTTCCCACCCAGCTCCCTGCAAGTGCACCTGGGAAAGCAGTAGAAGATGGCCCAAGTACTCAGGCCCCCACACCCACATGGAAGACCCAGATGGAGCTCCCGGCTCCTGGCTTTGGATTGCACCAGCCCTTGGCCATTGCAGCTACCCAAGCAAATACACATACAAAGTAAATGTTTTTTCATTTTCAGAAGGCGCCTGGCATTGTGGCAGAGTGGGTAAAACCCACCACTGGCAACACTGGCGTCCCATATGGACACTGGGACAAGGCCCAGCTGCTCCGCTGCCTATGCAGCTCCCTGCTCATGTGCCTAGGGAAGCAGCAGACAACAGCCAAAAGATAGCACCCCTGCACCCATGTGGGAGAGCTTATTTTTATTATAAAACTTGCATTCAAGGATATACTTTCTTTTTTTTTAAAAGAAAAAAAAGGTCTATTCATTTATTTGATGGTCAGAGTTACACAGAGAAAGAAGGAGAGACAGAGAGAGAGAGAGAGAGAGAGACAGAGAGAGAGAGAGTGTTCCATCCACTGGTTCACTCCCCAACTGGCCACAATGACATGAGCTGTGCCAATCCAAAGGCAGGAGCCAGGAGCTTCTTCCCGGTCTCCCATGTGGGTGCAGGGGCCCATCTTTTCCTGCTTTCCCAGGCCATGCCAGAGAGCGGGATCAGAAGAGGAGCAGCCTGGACTTGAACCGGAGCCCATATGGGATGCCTGCACTTCCAGCCAGGGCTTTAACCCACTGCACCACAGCGCCGGCCCCATCAACGAACACTTTAAACAAAACTTTTTAAAAGAGAAAGATTGTATCTGTGTCTCCAGACAAGAAATGCACTCTACACTAGGTTGTTCCAATGCAAAGGAAAACATGAGAAAATACAGAGAGACTAAGAAATGCATGGAAAAAATGAGTCAAAAAATGGGTTCATTCTGGTGCAAAAAACAATTTTTTGAAAGCCATGCATAACTTTTTCTTTTCTTTTTATATTTAGACGGGCAGAGTTGGACAGTGAGAGAGAAACAGAGAGAAAGGTCTTCCTTCCGTTGGTTCACCCCCGCTCCCCTAATGACCAATACAGCCGGCCTTCGCGCTGTGCCGATCTGAAGCCAGGAGCCAGGTGCTTCCTCCTGGTCTCCCATGCGGGTGCAGGGCCCAAGCACCTGGGCCATCTTCCACTGCCTTCCTGGGCCACAGCAGAGAGCTGGACTGGAAGAGGAGCAACCAGGACTAGGACCCAGCACCTATATGGGATGCCAGCGCCACAGGCAGAAGATTAACTGAGTGAGCCACGGCCACTGTCCCCATCACTTTTGCTTCACCCCTAGTTTCCCACACACTTTGTGAAGACCTCTTATCTGCTTAGGTTTCCAAACAGTTGTTCCCCAATCAAATGGTTTAAAATCAATTTCCACCCTGTGTCACATAAACATTTAAAAGATCTGAACAGTGAAACTGCTAAGCAAATTGAAAACACAGTTTTCAAGACTGGAAGGTTTTCTGTGCAACCAACATCAGAGTTTCTGGGAGACAACAAAGATACTCTACAAAACAACCAAAAACGAAACGCACAGTTCTTTAAAATGAGAAAGGTCAGAAACAGGCAATGAGCATTCAAGAGGAAGCAGAATGGTGTCTAAAACAGTGATGCAGCCCTGTCCCCTCGATGGCTTGGGAAGTGCGTCACAGACCAGAGATTATGGGAGAGACCCAACTGGCTGCCGTGTTAACTGTATGCCAGTCACGGGCATCCAAAAGGATGGGAGAGACGACGGACACTCACTCACTGCTGGCGGGAGCCCAGTAGCAAACTGTGCTCCTGTTTGCTCCATTGCTATAAGCCAGCGATCCCGCCAACGGCCAACCTGGTGCCGGCATGGCTTGGCCTACCACCAAGCAAGCCCTGCACAGCCAACCTCTCGCCCACCCGCCTCGGCCACTTGCTCACTCGACATCACGACTCGGACCGGCAGTATTTCCGAAGCTGCTTCTTCTCCAGCGTCTGTGTTTGTCTGCCCCCTGCCACCCGGACGGCTCCTTTCTAGAACAGAGCCAACTCCTGACGGTATTAAGTCACACCCTAGACCAGATTGACAGATGTAGCACTTGAAGAGCTTATCAGATACATGGGATTAACAGATGCCAATTTACCTCGGAATCAGCCCTTAAGATGTTCGGATCCGGCTGAAGAGCCCATGAGAGTATTTTAGGCATGGAAAGCCAAGACACTCTGGAAAAAAAAAAAAAAAAAACCTAAATGAAAGATCTCTGCGAGTGAGAGAGATCCCAGTGGAAAGAACATGCCATCAAAGGAGGAGGTACCCTTCTCTGAAGGGAATTTCCACTTTGACTATGACCTTGTCTAAATAAGATGGGAGTTGGCAAACTCAAAAGGCTTCCCTAACCTAGGCAACTCAATAGCCTAGGGTGATTACTGACCCCAGAAACAAGAGTGTCAATTTCTTAGTCAACAACAGGAGTCACTGTGCACTTCCTCCTCATGTAGGATCTCTGCCCTTCACGTGTTGTAAAATGTGAATTCTTCCTATAACTAGTACTCAAACAGTACTTGACGCTTTGTGTTTCTGTGTGGGTGCAAACAGTTGAAATCTTTACTTACTATATACTATATTGATCTTCTGTATATAAAGATAATTGAAAATGAATCTTGATGTGAATGGAATGGGAGAGGGAGCGGGAGATGGGAGGATTGGATTGCGGGAAGGAGGCAAGTTATGGGGGGAAAAAGCCACGGTAATCTATAAGCTGTACTTTGGAAATTTAGATTTGTTAAATAAAAGTTAAAAAAAGAAAGAAAGAAAGATCAGTGCCCATATGGGCTGTTGGCGATGCAGGCTGGGGCTTTAACCCGCTGTGCGAAAGAGCCGTCCCCAATAAATAAAATCTTTAAAAACGAAAATACAATCAACTTTCTAAAAAAAAAAATCCGAAGAAAGCGAGGAGGTGGTATGTTAATTAGCGTGACTGTGGTGGTAACAAGAAAATCAATCCTTTTAAAAAACACTTTTTATTACAGATATGTTGATTGATTTGAAAGGCAGAGTTCCAGAGAGGGAGAGAGAGGTCTTGCACTCGCTGTTTCACTCCCCAAATGGCCACAACAGCCAGAGCTGAGCTGTTCCGAAGCCTGGATCCGGAGCTTCTTCTGGGTCTGGGTCTGGGTCTCCCACACACACAGGCCCAGGGCCCTGCCCGAGGACTTGGGCAAATCCTCTACTGCTTCCCAGCCATAGCAGAAAGCTGGATCGGAAGACCGGGGCCCCTACGGGATGCAGGCACTGCAGGCCTCTCTCTCTCTCTCTCTCTCTCTCTCTCTCTCTATCACTATGTATCTCTCTCTACCTCTCTATCCCTATCTCTATCTCTCTGTATCTCTCTCTACCTCTATCTCATCACTAACTCTACCGCTCTGAACTCTGCCTTCAAACAAAGAAAAAAGAAAAAAATATCCCTGCCCTGCTGGAGCCCGAAGGAATCCCTCCCTCGCTCCTGATTGGACAGTAAGAGCAAGGGGGCGGGCCTGAGGCGCCTAGCGACCTGCGGGAAGCAGAGGCGAGAACTCTGGGAGAACTTGACCACTGGAAAGCGGGTCCGGGCGCCCGAGTCTCAGGCCCGTCCCCTCGTGCGTGGCCCGGGGAGGCCCGCTGCCCACCCACCGCCCGAGAGCACGCGGAGGACGGCAGCCCACGAACGTGGCCACCACGCCCTTGCGGCCCTGGATTTCGCGTTGTCTACGATGGCGCCCCCTGGCGCTCCACGGTGGCGGCGACCCCGGACTCTGGTGGCGGCTGGGGGCCAAGGCCGCGGCGAGGTCGCCAGGCCCGCCTGACTGCCCTCAGGAACCCCATAAATCGTCTTCTTGTGGCACTTCACAAGTATCTAAGTTCACCATTACAAAACGTCCACACACTACAGAAAACCAGCCTCCAGGCTGTGATGCCTCGGACCAGCCCAGAGAGCCCCCCAAACTCCCAGCACATTTGCTTTTGTAAAGAACAAGGCAGAGGAGTGGTCCCTCCAGGGCTGTCTCCAGGTCGCCGGCAGGGGCTCCTACAGACTGCTTCGTCCTTTTTCTTTTTTCTAGGACTGGAAAAAATTCGGCCCTTGA